TCAACTAAGCAGATATGATACACACACACAATCAACTAAGCAGATATGATACACACACACAATCAACTAAGCAGATATGATACACACACACAATCAACTAAGCAGATATGATACACACACACACAATCAACTAAGCAGATATGATACCAAGAAAAAAAAAGACACACCTTCCACTAATTTCTTTTGAAATTCATTTTCCTGTAGTTGTTCCAATACATCATGTAAACAATAATGGTGTGAGTAACAAAAACAGATGTAAATAGATATATTTCATTACTTAAGAAAATACCAAACATTTACTGCTCACCTTCATATTCAAAGCTTGATAAAGCTTTATAAACATGTATTCATAGCCAAATTGAGCAGAGCACCTGAAGTAAACAACACGATTTGTCCCATAATTTAACCACCATTGCACTAAGCTTTTTACAGCCTCAAAACTTTCATCGCGGCTTGGGATATATAGAGCTTCTGGAAAACAGAATGTTGTGTCCACATAAACACTCTGAATATCTTTAACTCTGAAAAATAAAAACAAATTATTTTAAAAAACATTCAAAATATTATCTACGGGCAGTCTATAAAAATAAAAAATTAAATCTTATACATTAGTATATCAGATGACAATATGAAAGTAGCAGAACTGCAAAAGCTTTCAGAATTAATAAAGTGTAAAAAGTATGAAAATAACTGATACTAAACTATTATACACACGAGTGATGCCCAGCATTACATGTTCCCAGTTACAACTACAGATCATAATAAAATTTAATAGTATATTGTATATTTTACAAATTTATACCCCTGTTTAGATAACTGCTACAAATGTTCTTTAATAAATGCTGTGTTGGACAAGTTATTTCTGGAACTTTAAGCCTTTACAAAATATTTTTAGAACATTTGTTTCACGGCTTAGAAGTAATGATACAATACTAGAAAACTTGTAAATTCAGTAGTTCAACTATGCCATCAAGGTACATTCATAAAACTTCACAACTGATAGAAAATATTTTGTTTTGGTTTGAATATTTGGTGTTTTTTGGCCCAATGCAATTAAGCTATCTGCACCGGAAAATATTTTGGAAAAGCAAAATATGCAAGTATTGATTTTTGGAAAATATGTTAATTATTTTTTATAATTGATAAACCTAATTGTAATTAACAAATTATTTTATACAATTGATAAAGATTTAAATATTCTGATTTATTTTTTGTTAGATCTATTGATTAAATTATTACACTAACTAATTTCTCTTTATCACAAAAATATTTACACTTTGAGACACTTGTCTTTGCAAAAACTGTTTCAAACAACCAAGTATATTATTCAATAAAAGCTAGTTGAATAAACATTTGTGATAAAAACTACTTCAATTTATCAATATAACACAATTCCAGGAAAATCAAAACTTACTGACTAAAGGAATAATACAAAGCTGAAGATTTAGCAGCATCTCCAACAGCCCAACGAAAATCACCAGTGTATAACACTGTGCCATTCATACCTTCAAGAAAAATCCTACAAGAAACAGGAAATTATTTTATTTTGAATATTCTAACACAATTAGTATTTCATTATTTGAAAAACAAATTAACGTAATATTTTATCTTACTTCTGACACAAGTGATGTAGTTTCTGTCTTTAAATATTTACTACACAAGAAGAGACCATGGGACAGTTCATAATAATGAGAGCATTTTATAGTTTTGACTGAAACTTTTACAAAACAATTAATTTTAGTTCCACAAAGAATCTTACCATAAGTTATAGTGCTCCCCACATCACTATAAAACATAATTAATAATTAGGTCAATATATAGAATTTCACAGTATACAATATGTTGCCAAAGTTAGAATTTCAAAAGTGTCAGCTATATATCAGCTTTTGATACATTTCAACTTGTATTTCCTGTTTACTTCATTGATTTGTCATTGTTATGAATAACACAAGTCTTGATCATCCAGCTCTTTCCCCATTTCATTATGTTCTATATTAAAACTTGTACAGTTTATTGTTTTATATATCTTACATATGTATGTTGTATACATTTTGTTCTATATCTTATCATTATTTTTTGTTTACTTCACTATTAAACTTCTATGCAAATTGTATGTGACGTGAAATAGGTGTCTACTAGTTCTATTATGGCTTATATTTCATGACATCTTATGTTTGTTTGAAATGATGAAATATATGATAAATATAAAAAGTTAGGATCCAGGCTCATTGCTGACCAGTAAACTGTTTCACAACCTTCTAAGAGTGTGAAATCACCCTAGGGTATGCAGTACCTGCAGAGCACAGTTGTGGTGTGCCTAAAGAATATAACTGCATTGCATTGTCACCATTAAACTCCAATAATACATATACATTAGTTGAGAGTCACTGCTACACATCCCCCCCAAAGTCTCTGTAAGAAATAAATACAAACTATCATCAGTTGTTTATGTGAATGAATTTAAGTTTTTTTGTCAATAATTTCACAGAATAAAATATTTTGTATATATATATATATATATGGGACTCCACACAATACTCCAGCTTATATTCCATGCCTGGAATATAAGCTGGGGTATTGTGTGGAGTCCCATATATATATATACAAGATATTTATCAGAGAATTCTCTGATAAATATTTTGTATATATATATATATATATGGGACTCCACACAATACCCCAGCTTATATTCCAGGTTCTCTGATCACCATTGGTAACAGACAATTTATGAGTGGCTTTATGGTTCACAATAACAAGAATACTAATCACACAATAACAAAATAGTCAAATCTTGTGCAAACAACAGATTTCTGATACAGAATATTATCTATAATTCAAAATGTGTCAGATTGGAGGTGTTATATGTGAATCCATAGGTATGATGATGCCTAGATACATATATGAATTATGGAATTTCAATACAAATAGCTACATACATGTGAGTAGCAAGTAAAATATTTGTTTATATATTATGCATTTTCAAAAATTATTATTTATTTTTTACTTCTGACAAACACTAAGTTATCTGTCACAGTTTTGTTGTGAGGGAAATAGGGACAAGGATGGGTGGCCTTCATTTCAATCATACATTGAAACTATATACTAAAAATATTGTACAAGACTACTACTACATGTTTTTGCACAAATATCATCATTGCTTGAGGGTCAACATAATACAATATGTCAATAATAGAATTAGAAAAGATTAAAGTACTCAGAGAGCACAGTTTTGTTTCTCATGTGATGAGTTTTTCTATTTTCTATAATTCATATATGATAAGAACCATTTCTGAAATCTTTTTTAGCAAAAGTCTAAGATGAATCCAGTTGAGAAGCAAGATACGTTATTGATCCTCTTGCAGCAGTAGATAGTTGCTTTATTTTAGGAACTGAGAGGATACAGGCATTTTCAGCATTCTCGTTGGCAATACCATGCAAAGATGATGTGCAGCAATGTACAACATGACTGACACATTTTAATTTCTGAACTTTACAACCATACTTTAACTTTCCAATAATTATTTTATGCACACTAGAATCATCATCTACAATGAACATAAGGAATCAAACTCCAAGCATTTCTTCTGAATCCCCTACTATTATATTTGTTTCCATTGCTTTCATGACTCATCCTAGTTTTATAGCATAAGTGATGCTTCTATAAATTCACATATTTCACCTATCTATGAATATTATTTTTGTTTTGAAAATTCCAATCTTAAAATTACATTTACATGCTTTTATGATGTCAAACAGTTTATTTTTAAGTTGAACAGTTTTATCTATTTAAATGTTCATAACAAGTGTAATAATTAGCTACTGTGTCCAGTAAAATAGTTGGAAAGCTGTCACAAATGATGCTAGGTAGGAAACTGGTAAAACACTGTTGTAAATATCATTCAGAATTTTTTAATAATGCTATACTGGTGGAGAGAAAAAAGAAAATAGTTAAGAGTGAAAAAATACAATAAAAATAAAATACTCTTACATATTTACTAATGCTTAATGTATTAATGTTTGGTGAGATAAATATTCAAAGCTCGATCTATCTACTGTTTAAATCTTGTAAACACTAATTTCTTGTTAAGTAATTAAAAGCTACAATTATTGTTGCTTATTTTCTGATTCCCCAAAATGCAGTAAGGTGTGAAGAAAGAAAAACAGTAAAAAACACCATAAAAATTTATACCTTGATTTTACAAAAACCCCTAACAAATATTTTAATTATTGTTAAAAATAAAATGCAAAATAAATTCAGAAGCATTTCAGGGAAGATTCTCTTTCCATTTTCAAACAATCACAATAACCATACATGCACAGGGATCATCCTTGGATTTAGCCTGTATTGGAGAACTCATGTTTATTATAAATTCTACAAATCCAAATTTTCTTTTTTTATTTTACAGTTTTCAAATTTCATCTGCATAATCTCTAAAACCTCTTAAATGAAAATTAAAATTTTTTTCAATAAAACTTTATATTTTTCTATTTTCTCTAAATTAATGTCCAATGACCGAGGTTGTAACCAAATTAAAAAAAAGAAAAAAAATGTTAATTACTTTTTTTCTTTCTAGAATCAATGTAGATTGTAACAAAAAAATTTAATTATGCTTTACATCTGTTTTTTGTGGAATTTTATTGTTTTATTGCCCATTGAACAATGTCTAACTACTTTGAATAGCAGTAAATCACCCAGTGGGAGTTGGGAGTTTAGGGTTAAAAAAATTTCAGGTTGCATCACAGAACATCTAATTTATGTATATTTCTTGAGGAGAAAGTCTTGATTTTTTTTTTCACTTACATTTTTATCTAACCTAATAGGTTTTAAATCTTTACATTTCAGTTACTTTTGTTAAAAAATATATGCCAATAAATAAAAAATTTAGCACTTACTTCAAAGTTAAGGACTTTTGCTTTCAGAAGCCAGTTTTCAATAACCCTAAATTTTTCTTGCTAAGCTGACTGTCTAAAAAATAAAACATGTAGCTTTCAAATACATATTTTAAAACACAAATAATGACTCAAACAGTAAAATAGAATGTCCCAAAACTACTATAATTTTACTGGCTTTCTAAATTACCTATGAGAAAGTTTAAAAACTTTTACTACAATTTCGTCCTCACACTTGGGAAATGGTATCTTTCAGCAAAATAAATTAACATGGAGACAACATAATCATGTGATTCACAAACTGGCTTTTCTATTGGTTATGAATATGTACCACTGACAAGTAAGCATGAGTAAATAAGTAATTCAGATGTTTTTAGAAACTGGTTTTGTCGTTTAGCCAGAAGGACGTTTAACATAATGTGATGGGTAAGGTCTTAATGCCTGGAACTTTCTTTAAAGTTAAAGAAACAATTTGAACCTTATATAAAAAGTGAGATCAGTTAAAGTGCATTGACAAGATTGTTAATCAGTTAATGAATAATCTTTCCATGATTTAGTAAATTTGTCTGTTACTGTCACCTACTTAGTTTACTTCTGCAAATACTGACTGTTTCATAAAATAAACAGTCATATGAAATTAGCAAGCAAGTGGGATTTCTGCTAGACATTGTTTAATTGTGAATTATGCATATTGGTGAATGTTGGTTACACTAAACATGAAATATGAAGCTACAGAAAAACGTTTTTATTATCATAAAAGTGGAATGGATTTTCCATTATTATTTTTACTGGATAATTCAACTTAACTTGACCAACATTAGAAACCACTACAACACTGGTATCAGAAATAGACTAATTTTGGTATAGAAATCCAAACAATATCAAGATGATGACACATGCTTGAAATGAGATTGACAATTTTATGGAAATGAAAAGAACAGTGGAATAAAAAACTGAGGAAGAAAGGGAAAATTTAGACAAAATCACAAACAAAGAAATAAGAATCTAAGAGAGGACTTACAAGAAAGAGGTTCAGATACTTTTGATCACAAAAAAAAATTGAGTAAGCAATATGAAATGTACATAAAAACATCACATTTAACTTTTTCATGACAAGTACTCCTTTAACTTAAACCCTTTTCTGCACAAGTCACTGCAGTACATTCAAAATTGAATTAAACGTTTTTAATGCCAATGTATATGAATTAAATTAACAAAGTAATGTATGTTATGATTTGAAGTTTTATGATATCTAATTTTTAAGTCCTTTATTTCAAAAGAAACCTTTAAAAAACTATTTAAACTCAGATGTATTGTCACGTGACCAACAAGCTAAGAAAATACTATACTTTGGCTCTATGTATCTTCAATAATACAATGATAGTTGAGTAAAGGTACTTCTAGACAATAAGATGCTTGCATAACCTTTTGACTCATTCATTTCAAAGCTATCTGAATAAATACAGTTGAAACAAGTAATAAATTTTTTTAACTCCTGACAGCTGCCACAACCACCTTTAACAGATTTGTTTGATCTTTATAGCATACATGTAGATGTTACATACACATGTGTATAGTCATTAGAAAGAGATTATTGGACACTAATCTGACAATGGTTATTTTGAAGTTGGAACACAGTTGTCATCACAGATTATATGAAGTTGACTGTAGTATTGTTGGCTGCTTGATCGACGATAGCATTTACAGTTGTTTCTTACCTAAATATGTTATATTTAGAGATACAGTTTAAATTCTATTTAGGTTTTACAATTATATTTTAGTTAATTATATATTAGTTTTAAAGTGCATAATTAAAAGGTTTAACCATTTTTTAAATATACATCATATTTTGCATCCATTTCAAGGATTACGATATTACAAAGTGAACAAAAATTTTGCCGAAGGAATGCACACGTTTGCCACAGAAACTAATATGCCTTGAGGGCCCTGTTGACTTTTGTCCAGATCAATAATAAGTGGTAAAGAAAAGAACAGAAAATAAAACATTACAAATTAACTATATGTAAAAAGGAAAAGACCCAAAAATATGAATATAAGTAAAACAAAATCTGCTAAGATATTGTACAAAAAAATTAAAATATTTTTTTATTTCTTAGTTTTATTCATTTTATTATATTGTATGTTGATGATAATAGCTAAAGTTAGTGATATGGTAAAGAAAATGGAAAGTGAAATATATAAACATTTACTTTAAAAAAACTTTTGATCTTCATTTAGGAGGTTCTATAGATTATGTAAATAAAATATGCAAACAATAAGATGAAGAAAAGTATTTTTATACTTAAAATGAAAATCACCTGGCACTTGAACTATTTTAACAGTCCGAGTGCAAATAACTAGTATAGATAAATAAAATTTTTATTATAAAGAAGTAATTAGAATAATGTTATTCTTTGTGTACAAAATACTTATAAACTTTAACAAAATCTTACGAAGTTTTGTGAGGAATGCACAGAGTTACAGTATTTTTGTTGCATAAATGTCTTTCCCTAGTTGAGCAGATGGTAATCTCATCCACCTGTGTTTAAAGGGTTAAATGGAGGAACTTCCTAGACTACTTCAGCTACAC